TTTGATCACCCGCTGCAGAACCCTCTGGTCCTGGGCCGTGCACATCCCATGCCAGTTTGTGATGTTTCCAGTCAGGATACTTTTTTTATTGCTCTTCTGTAAAAGCTGACAAGAGCTTTCTTCACCAGCTTGGAGATGTGAGATGACCATGTCAGGTTCTCTGTGATGCTGATTCCCATAAACCTGAAATTGGATGCTTGTGATGGGAATTACAGCTCTTTAAACGGAGCCGGATCATACGGCTCTGTTCCTTTCCAAGAGCTGGCTGTTTCGGCTCCCAAACAGCTCTGCATTTAGTACCACTTCTGTTGGTCGCTGCCCAAGTTGTGCTCTTATTTTTTTGCAAGAAATAAATGTGCAAGATTCTTCATCTGCAATACATTGACATATTCTTTTATACTGATGGATAAAAATTGTGATATGTTAAGAATCACTATCCTCAGATGGGCCAGCTCCCATCCTTTCCTGACACATCACTAGAGGACGCATTCAAGGAATATGACTCAGTGTTACTCTCAAGTGTACTTACATACAGAACAATATACAGAAAGATGAATAGTAGTGGTGCAACAGATCACAAAACTCACAGTTCGGATCGATCCGTGGTTTTGAATCATTGATAGGATCATTTTCGGATCAGCAAAAATAAAAGTGGGATAAATTTATTATATAATGTGCTACTTTGGCTCAGATGTAGCCTAAACGAGTGATAGCCACTTGCAAGACGGTAGCTGCTCCTGTGAGCAGTGGAGCTGTGTGTGAAGGGAATTCATCAGATATGGAAGGCAGATTAAACATCACAACCTTATCTGTTTCTATGATGACAAGCAGGCCGGTGTCCGTGTTACACCACTGAAAAGGAACCAATGTCACAGCTATGAGGTTCATAAGTGGAGGCGAAAGCAACAGCTCTAAATCTCGGTCTCCCCTAAACCAATCACTGTGGACAACAAAGCTGAACAGAGATCAAATAAACGGAACAATTATGTACATAATAAATTATATAAAGTGCAACAATGACCAACAACATACTATATCTACAGTTTAAACAAATCTTGTAATTGTAAAAGCCATTAAAAGCATGAGCAATGTAATAGATTGCTATCTAATTATCAAATGTTAGCATGCAACCCCAGTAAACTAAGAACAGGGTAAACATTATACTGTAGGCTACCTGCTAAACTTCAGCATGTTAGCATTGTCACTGTAAGCATGTTAGCAATTAGCTCAAAGCACCGCTGTGGCTTTAAGCAAGCGGAAAGTTTCCGGTCAGAGAACAGAGGCAAATGCAGAAGTCTCTTAAATCTGTATTCCATTGAACGGCCAGCAGGGGCGACTCTTCTTGTTGCTTCTCAGCTGATTTATTACCTCAGTAAACACTTCCCCAATGAGTTTATGGTCTCAATCGCTAGTTTCAAGTCTTCTTCTATACAACATGATGTTCATTTAGTAAATTATGGTCCCATTTAGAGGAAAATAGACCATAAAGCAGAGTATGCTTCAGGGTGGGCAACCTGTCAATCAGGCTAGAGTGACTAGTACCCACGGCACTGTGTAAATTTAACCAGCGCCGTTAAAAAAGTTTATTAGGAGTTGGCTGTTCATTTTCTCTGGTGAGTACTTTTAGTTTTAAGCCTGTTGTTCGCTAGACAAAATTATCATTCATGTTAAAATGACAGTTAACGATAATTACAGATACACCAAGCTAAGCAAGCTAGCTAGCCGCGCACACGGCAATTAAAGCTGTTCTGGAGGCTCATGGCGGCCTGACTACATACTACAGTGGCGTTTCCACCACACACTTTCGGTAGAGTACCCTTACAACTTACACTTACCTAAATGGCTACGATGACTACGTCCATTTCTTATATACAGTCTATGGCTATAAGTAGCCTACAACCTCACAGAGCTGCATGGTTGTAGATTCTTAAGCTGTCTATTTAGATACAGTCCCCTCCAAAAGTATTGGAACGGTAAGCTGTCAATTTAGATACTTCTGTAAATACAGACTCATGTAACTACCACCATATTAACCCAATAAGAAGCCTGATGGTTCTGACAACAGTCTAGTGGTACATAGTGGGGAAAAAACATTAAATTTGAATAGTCTGGTGTTCACCAGAGCAACCGTTGCAACCTCCACTTCTGCAACGTAGCCAAGATGGCAACCATTGAGGGTGAGGATGTCCAGCCTTCCACACTCAGCTTCTGACCTCTCTCGCTATCTCTGCCCAATTTTATAATGTGGCATACAGTCTATTTGTTCAGCCGTAGCAAACCGCTGCAAGATATTTTGTATTGAACTTGCCCCTGGCCACTCATGATATCTACCAGTTCACTTCCTTTCTTCCTTGCCATTTCACCCTTGTTGCCATGTACCTAGTTCCTTTGTGTGTTTTTGCATGCTAGTTTCTGTTACCTGGAACTGTATTTCCCTGCCTGTAAGCTATCACACAACGAATCACTGAACTGCAGAAGTATGCCTGTTGTCTCAGCATTTGGGTGCAGTCCCAGTTGTCCTGCGCATAACAATTATTAACCACTTTAGATGAATATTCACAGCTGGACAACAATGACACAAAGCAGCTAAATCAATGAAGGTACTAAAGATTAATGAACTGTTTGGATGAGGAAGTGAAAAGGGGATTAGAGAATATATGAACATTCAGAAAATCTTATATTTCTACACTGAGGTGACTGGACTCATTTTTATTTATAAACTGCTGGCTTGCTAAAAAGACAACTAATACATATTTGATTATTGATGAAACTCATGGAAGTTCAAAACATTAATCTAAAAGGCAGAAGCTGTTTTTCTACCAGCTAAAACCGAAAGCATTTTGCTTATGCTGTGCAACAATTTCCCAAACAGAGACAAAGTGAAATTAAGTTTTCCTGAACCAAGAAGTCCCCTTTAATGACATAATTTTGAATTACTATATTACATTAAAGGGGACTTTTTTAGCTTATTAAACCAACTGGTCATTTTGTGTGTCTACATGAGTAGATACCAGTAACTCAGCAGAGACTGCACCAGTCACATTAGAGTTTTCTGTGAACTTTTTTAAATTTTTAAAAGCTGTTGACAATGTGGCAAAATCATTATTTTTGTCCACAATAATCGCAATATGACTTTTTCTCCAATCGTGCAGCCCTATTCTCAGTGGCATCATTTGTAATGAATTACAGCTAAAGGTTGTGAAGTTATCAGGACTCAGTCATTGTTTTAAGACAAGAGACCAGTTAAGTTTGTTAACACCCGTGGTGTGTGTAGTATGTGTGTAGCTGAATGTCATAGAATCTGTAGCATAAATGTTCACATATAGTTTAAAAATCAGTTTAGTATGTGACACAGCAAGTCATTTGAGGATAGAGACCTTTTTTAAACTAGGTTGTTTGAAAACAGGAGACTAGCCACAATAGGAGGAAAGTGTGCACAGTCAGTAAGTGGACCCTGTTTCACTGAGGATTTTCCAGGCAGGAATCCAGGACTGAGAATAACAGGAAGGAGCATTAAGAGTTGCTAACAACATTATTTGATAAGGAACAACGGGTAAAGCTGTGTTTTTTACCTAATGAGGATTTAGTTTTTTAAATTTTTTTAATTTGTCCGCCATTTCTAAGACGTGGCATGTTCAAGGGTTATAAAAATCAAATGTTGGGAGAGGCATTTAGTTAGTTTCCTCTTTGAGCGAGAGATGAGGGGAGCTCTCGAATCATCCACTGACAGGTGAAAATGCCCTTTAAATAAGACTGAATTCTTTAATTGATATGCCTGAAAGATAATACCTTTTGAAGAATATTTCATATCTCATTTTAATCTGGAACAGATGTGTTTCCTAGCATTTTGTTATTTGATCTCTTTGTAAATATTTCACCTTTTATTATTCTGTAAATAAATATCATTTATCATTTTAATCAGTCTAATCGATTATTGCTTTCTTTGAGGCAACCAAAAATGTCACCACAGGTGCAATGTAACTACATGTAATAGTATTTACTCAAGTACGGTACAAGTACAAGTCAATCTACTTTTTAAAAATACTTTTCACTCTGCTACATTTATTTGCCAGCTTTAATTATTTTGTAGTTTCAGATTACTGATACAAAATATAATCGAATAATAAATGATGGTGTATCATTACCAATTAAGCTACATTTACCTGCTATGACGTCAGTGATGCTTATTATTATTATTGATATTTTTAGTATATTCTAATGCTTATACTTTTGTACTTTTACTTTGGTATTTTTACACTGTGGTATTTTCACATTGTGGAATTACAATATTTACTTAAGTAAAACATCTCGATACTTATTCCACCATTGGTTACAACACCTGACACTTAGTTTAAATACTGATAATTATTATTGATGAAGATTGATATGAGAAATTCCAGAACATAATTATATATTATGTCCAAATACTTTGTAATCCCTTTGTATTCCATATACGATGTGGCATTTTTATGGTTTATATATACATAATATTCCACACTACAGAACAACATCTTTTATGTCTGAAACCACCTTGAGCATTACACCAAAACTAATTACCATCAATGTAATTACTCAAGTTCACACAGAGTCTCTGTTTACTAATGCACCATGTCTGTACCTCATGTTGTTTTAATGAATTTGGGCAGCAAAATGTCTCGACAGTCCTTATTTTCTCTTTTCGGCAGGCAGCAGAAAAGAGAAAGTGCTGGTTGATTTTTGCCAGTCATTACTTGAATTTCTAGAGGAAGTGAATCAAATCACAACTCCCAGTATACACATAAAAAAAAGAAGTAAAAGAGGGAATCGAGGATAGATTGACTAATTTGCGTAAAAAGGGAATTAACATCTAGGACAAAACCTTGAGGTTGTTCATATATTTCTTAGAAATGTATAAAGGTTTAAACACAACAGCATCCTATAACACGATTGATGTGGAGGTCTTGTTTTCATTGAAAAGGGAGAGGCTTGAATATATGGTAAATTTAAGTCAAAAAAAGTTCTAATGCTGCTCATAACAAGGAACAGCCTGCTGTGCCAGCTACTCTCACTTCCTCACTCGATTCATGAGATTGAGGAGACAAGAGGAAATGTGATAACGTCTCGTGTCACATGGAAAGAGATATCATTTCAACTCTTTTGATCTGAGAGGAACATTTTATTTGAGCAAAGGAAGCCACAATATTCAGCGAATACGACAGCTGTGATTAATCAGCTCTTCTTTGTGAGACACAGTGAGTATCAGGAACCATTATGTTTCTTGTTCTTTTCGTCATTGGTTGTTGTTTTTTTTTGGTTTTGTGCCATTTATAATAGGGTTAAAGAAACTGTCTGAACTCAGTTGTGCTTTTTCTGTTTCCACAAGGAATTACCAAACCTACATGATCATTCAGAAGAGTATTTCTTCTTTGTTACTCTTGTTGATGGACTATTTGTTTGTTTTATTGGATTCTAAGGGTGACCTTCTGCAGTTTTATTCACCAAGTGGACTTTCCATTGAGAAATTGAAATTCCTTGTTGGTTGAGACGAAGATTTAAAAATGGGTCCTGGAGTGAATAAGGAGAAAATGAAGCCAAGAGGAGGATCAAAATGTTATATATTAAGTGTTACTTTACTCTTGTGGAATATCAACAGATTAGTTATTCCAGTCGAAGGATTTTCACTTAGGTCTTGCCGAATCAGTTACAACAATGCCATATGTACCAAGAGTAAACTCACAGCTGTTCCTCAAGATATTCCCCCAACCGTGCAAGGTTTAGACTTGTCTGCAAACCAACTTATAAAAATACAATCATCAGATTTCAAACACTTATCACTTTTGACACAGTTAGATCTAAACCGAAACAGAATTTCAAAAATAGATACAGGAGCCTTTGCCAATCTGATTTCCCTCAAGAAGTTAAATCTAAACAATAACAAACTTGATAAACTTGTGGATAATCTTTTGATGGTTTGCGCAACCTCATGGAGCTAAGAATTAACAATAATCACATCAACAGTGTGGGATCTGCTACTTTCACGTCACTGAGAAGCTTGAGGTTTTTGGACATCTCTTGCAATAAACTGCGCAGCATAACAAAATTTAATTATACATTACAGTACCTGCCAAATCTACGAGTTCTGTCAATCAAAAGAAACGACTTAACCGTTTTTAATTCGTGGCAGCTGACAAACCGCTCACTACCGCTCACATCCCTTGATTTGTCTCAAAATTCCATTGCAGCCTTTAGGATCACTGCAGATGTATTTCCAAATCTCACCTGGTTTAACATGGGCGCCTCTTTTAAAAAGCACAAGATGATATGGGACGTGCGTAACGAGACTTTTCTTAGTCAAGTGTCTACTCTTGATATAAGTGGGCTTCACTTGCCTGATGACATTAAAGCATTTCTAGGGAGCTTCAGTTCTCTGACTTCACTGAGGATGAATGGAATGAAACGTAACAGACTACCAGCACTGATCAACATTTCCTGCACCATCCCGTCAGTGACCACACTCCAACTCCGAAGTAACAATCTCACTTTTGTCGATTCAGATATGTTTCAGTTGTGCATTAATGTAACAGAATTAGATTTAACAAGTACTTACATAACAAATATCCAAGATGAGGCCTTCAGATCTATTCGAGGTTTAAGGATCTTGAGTCTGAGTCGTAACAGAATTGCATCCGTTCCAGCTGCCACAAGGAATATACCAACTCTCTCAGAGCTGGATCTCAGCACTAACCTCATCGCCTCACTCGGATGTCACGATTTCGCCAATCTGACAAAGCTCAGACAGCTCAACCTGTATAATAATAAAATCTCAGCTCTACAAGAGTGTCTTTTCAAGGATTTAATAGGATTGCAAGTTTTAAAGCTACAGAACAACCAAATCTCCATACTAAACGGTGCTTTTAAAAAATACTTGCCAAATCTTCGAAGACTGCATTTGAATGAAAATAAACTCACTGCCATTGAATATGGAGACTTTCAGGGTCTGAAGTCACTCCAGAACTTGTCATTGCATCAAAATCAAATACAATCCATTAAAAAGGGGTCTTTTATTGGATTGACAAGTCTTACAGATATTCAGCTGCAAAATAATGAGATTAAACAAGAGGAAATAAAAACATGCTTTAATGTTCTGACAAATTTAAGAAGATTGGAATTGAGGGACAATCACATTAAGTACAAAGACAGTTCAGCTTTGCCTAATCCACCATTTTCTCAGCTGTCCCTTCTGGAGACATTAGCTATTCCTGCACAACACTACAGGGGGAGGTCCCAGCTGCCTCGTAACTTCCTGCAAGGTTTGACAAATCTATTGGTTTTTAATATCAGGAACATTCAACTTTTGTACCTGCACAAAGATATGTTTAATTACACGCCTCGACTGCAGACACTTGACATTAGCTCAAATGAACTAAAGGATCTCTCTCCGGATTTGTTTTCCCCAATTGGAAGCCTAAAAAGCCTCTACATATCTAGAACAAATCTTCAGTCTCTAGATTTCTTTATAGAAGCCAACCTTACTAATCTCGAGTTCCTTCAGGCAAGAAAGAATATGTATTCAGTAATCAGTGAGGAAGTAATAAAGTCCCTACCAGCTCTTATTTATATGGATTTTCAAGGCAATAGTTTCACTTGTGACTGTGATAACGCCTGGTTCCTCCAGTGGACGCAAAACAATACCAATACGCAAGTTTTTGACGCCTACAACTTTGGGTGCAACTATCCTCCAGACTATAAAGATACAAAACTGTTGGACCTCAATATCAACTCCTGCTCAGTTAGCATAGACTTCATCTACTTTGTCTCCATCACATCCATAATCCTCCTGTTCATGGTGGCGTCCTTCACCTGCCATTTCCTGAGGTGGCAACTGGTCTACGCCTACTACTACTTCTTGGCTTTGCTCTTTGACACAAAACATAGAAACAAGCAAGCTCCTTATCAGTATGATGCCTTTATCTCCTACAACAACCATGATGAGCCATGGGTAATCAGAGAGCTGTTGCCAAAACTGGAAGGAGAGCAGGGCTGGAGATTGTGTCTGCACCATCGAGACTTTGAGCCAGGTAAGATGATCCTATTTGCCCCAATTGAGCTTTAATGGGAAAGTCTGAATTCAAAGTGTAATCCACTGAAGTAGCCATGCTAGTTGCATTTTGGGATGGCAATAGCAATGCCAGTCTGTTGTTGTGTCAGCGTGTCGGCCGGTCCAGACAGAAATATCAGCTGGATAGCCATTAAATTTTGTACAGATGTCCATGAACATACTAATGACTTCAGTGATCTCCTGACTTTTCTTTTGGTGCCACCAGTAAGTTTACATTACTAGCTTTTAGAACAATGTCTCTTTTGCTTTTATAATTCATTTGCACACATTCATGTTCCCCTCAGGATGAATCATAATATCTTTGGCGTAATTTTTCATCCAGCACCATATCCAAGTCAAAGTTTAAATTCATCAATACCTGCAAAAGTAATTACATTCCCATCAGCCTGAGCTATTTAACAACAGTGTTGAACAAGCTAAATGTCAGCATGGCTGTAGACGCTTAGTCTTGTTTACCTATGTAGAAGTTTCACATTTTCTATTGTCAATGCTGAGCACGTTCCAACAATTTGACAGTTACTCAGGTCAAAATGAACGTTGAGTCTTAAATGAAGCTTGGTGATGGTGATGGCATTCAGAGACTGATAATTTAAACATGTATACAAAGTTATAAATAAATAAAAAATGCTTTTTAAGATGTATATTTTCACAATAGCAAAGCAAAGTGTGCTCTTGGTGTCCTCTAACTGGATCAAACACAAACAGGCAGAAGCACCTCTGTCCTCTGTCTTCATAAATGTAGCTGTTAAACCAAATGTGCTGCTTTTTTGTACATGTATCAAACTGTGCCGCCCGGTAGAGAGCTGTAATACAGAAGAGTGCATATGAAATAAAGATGAATTTCATTGTCATACAACAAATAAAAGACATATTTCATCCATAGATATTAGAATAAATAAGATCAGCCTGCGATGCTTTCTAGAGCTTGACCATGACAACTTTAATGGACTGTCTGCAGTGCGTTATGGTCCACCGGCTTTAAAAACAAAATATGTCTCTCCTTTAGGCTACAAGATAACTTGTTTCACTGTGTAAGAATTCAAAGTTCAGGAGAATGTGTTGGTCTGACTGGGGTGTACAAACGGCCCCTCCCATCTTGGACCGATCTTCGTTTTTGCTGAAATCTGATTGGCTCAACTGGGCTGATCAGAGAAGTTTACTTTCCATTTGGAGCGAACTTAATCTCCAAACGTTTCGTCGGGGCTGAAGTCAGCGCTGGGCTGTGTGATAGGCTCAACAGAGACAGTAAAAAAATAAGAAAAAATGTTGGCATAAGAGGCAGCTAAATGTGCCAAAATAATGTCTTTATGTATATTAGCTGTGGAGGTGATGCACAGGGACAGGGTGATGATGACCCCAGTCATGTTGATGAGGAGGGAGAGAAGGGACAGGAGGAGCAGTAGGAGGAGAAGATAAATGCAACCAGACAAAACAGTGAAAGGTACAGAGGCAGTGTGTCTTAAGAATTAGAGAATGGATAATTGTAAGTCATGTTTATTACTGATTTCCTTCTAGTGCATATGTAACTGTACAATCAGTAAAAGCAGAGGGGAAGCTGAGAATGGGAGAGGCCTACTCAGAGATGAGGGATTTGATTTTTATACACACACATACACACTGCTGTATTTTATGGCAATGCATTGTAGTTTTTGAGTATATTTAATTATTTTTAGCCCTCTGACTGACTCAGGCTTGCCTGACCTGATCTGGTTCAGTGCAGAGCTGCCTTGCTTATACAAACTGAAGAGGCAGGTGTCATCCTGAAGTTTCTTGAAGGTCTTCAGCATAATCTGATTCACTGTATACAACAAAAACACTAATATGTCTTGTCACCCCCCCCAAAAGGGCGCTCGCATAAAAGGCCTCTCCGTCTCAAAGTCCCGGGCTGAATTTCAGTCCCAGTATATCCCTGATGGTGCCTGTTACTTACAGTCATCTGTACTCCACAAGGTGTCACCATAGTACTTCCTACACTGTGCCATCAGAAGACTATGGATTATGATTCATTCCTTTTTTCCTTTCCTCTTCCTCAGGTAGACCGATCATAGACAACATTACGAATGGCATCTATGGAAGCAGGAAGACCATCTGTGTGATCAGTCGCAGATACCTCGAGAGTGAGTGGTGCTCCAGAGAGATCCAGGCAGCCAGGTAAAGCGTCAGCTGACTTTAAACATCTCTGAGCTGAGACAGGTGGCAGTATAACCCCTCATTAACTCCGTATGAAGCCAGTTTGTGTGATTAATCCAACACTGGCTGTTCCCACTATGCTTATTCTGTATAATAGGTGGTTTTTAGAGTGAGGCTATATACTCTACATGAACTGCTGATACACATTAAGTATTTTAATACTTAGCCATTGGAATAAGGAATTGAAAGGTTGAACCTATCACACTCTGACTTGGCAGGTTATTTCTAAACAGGTGACTGTGAAAATACTGAATCTGGCTCTATCCCATTTTTTTGTTCATACATCACAATGTACCCATAAAAAGGAGCCAGTCTAAAGTCAAGTTTACAACCAAATGGAGCGCAGATATTAACTAGAAAACAATGCAGAAAATATGATGGAAATATGTCTTTTATGTTTGTTTAATTTTAACAGCTGCATTTTTAAAGTGTCCAACTGAAAAAGTCAGCCTGTTTCCGTTGCATCTTGATGCTTTGTCTTCTTTTTGATCTTCCAAGTTTTCTTATGCACTAACTGATAACGTGCAAATGAGCTGAAACTCACTTTACTTTTTTTTTGCAGATACTACACCAAAATTGTAGCAAGTAGGGGAGACCGGGGAGGGTTGTAACATTTCTGACATTTCTGTCTGCGTCTCAGAGTCTGCAACACAGATTCAATTCAATTCAATTCAATTTTATTTATATAGCGCCAAATCACAACAACAGTTATCTCACAGCGCTTTTCATAAAAGAGCAGGTCTAGACCGTACTCTGTGATGATATTTACAGAAGCCCAACAGTTCCCACCAAGAGCAAGCACTAGGCGACAGAGGCAAGGAAAAACTTCCTTTTAAGAGGCAGAAACCTCGAGCAGAACCATGGCTCAGGGTGGGCGGCCATCTGCCTCGACCGGTTGGGGTGAGAGAGAGAGAGAGAGAAAGAGAGAGAGAAGAGAGTGAAAGAGAGAGAGAGAGAGAAAGAGAGAGAGAGAGAGAGAGAGGGATGTAAGGAGAGAGAGAGGGGAGGGAGGCAGCCTACACAATATACACACAGAGGTACAGACAGCGAAGGTAATGTTGCTATAAACTAAATGAAAAATGGTACAGATATTTATAATAGTGTTAATGGTAACCATCGTAATGTTAATGATTATAATAACAATAAGACTAGCAACAATAGTCGTTGCAGTAGAGGGTGTCGAGCAGGAACACGGGGGCAGCAGGCGACCCGCAGCCACAGATCCAGACTCCACAGCTCCAGAGCCAGAAAACCTGCAGGAAGTGATAGGAGGAGAGAGGAGAGGGACGAGAAAGCACAAGACTACCAGAAAGGGGAGAAGTTGTGTTAGTAACATGCAATAATGGGATAAGGTTGCATACAGAGGGAGAGAAAGTAGAGGAGAGAGGAGCTCAGTGCATCATGGGAAATCCCCCGGCAGTCTAGGCCTATAGCAGCATAACTAAGGGATGGTTCAGGACTACCTGAGCCAGCCCTAACTATAAGCTTTATCAAAGAGGAAAGTCTTAAGCCTACTCTTAAATGTGGAGATGGTGTCTGCCTCCTGAACCCAAACTGGAACCTGGTTCCACAGGAGAGGAGCTTGATAGCTGAACGCTCTGGCTCCTAGTCTACTTTTGGAGACTCTAGGAACCACAAGTAACCCTGCATTCTGGGAGCGCAGTGCTCTGGTGGGGTAGTAAGGTACTATGAGCTCTTTAAGATAAGATGGTGCCTGACCATTAAGAGCTTTGTAGGTAAGAAGAATGATTTTAAATTCTATTCTGGATTTTACTGGAAGCCAATGCAAAGAAGCTAAAACAGGAGAAATGTGATCTCTTTTCCTGGTTCCTGTCAGAACACGTGCTGCAGCATTCTGGATCAGCTGAAGAGTCTTAATGGACTTTTTCGAGCAGCCTGATAATAAGGAATTGCAGTAATCCAGCCTAGAAGTAACAAATGCATGGACTAGTTTTTCTGCATCATTTTTAGACAGGATGTTCCTGATTTTCGCAATATTACGTAGGTGAAAAAAGGCGGTCCTTGAAATTTGCTTAATGTGGGACTTAAACGACATGTCCTGATCAAAGATAACTCCAAGATTCCTCACAGTGGTGCTGGAGGCCAAGGCGATGCCATCCAGGGAAACTATATCTTTAGATAATGCGTCACGGAGGTGCTTAGGCCCCAGAACAATAACTTCAGTTTTATCTGAGTTTAACATAAGAAAATTACAGCTCATCCAGGTTTTAACATCCTGAAGGCACATTTGAAGTTTAGCTAACTGATGAGTTTCATCTGGCTTGATCGATAGATATAACTGAGTATCATCTGCATAACAATGAAAGCTTATGGAATGTTTCCTGATAATATTGCCTAAAGGAAGCATATATAAAGTGAAGAGGATTGGTCCAAGGACAGATCCTTGAGGAACTCCATGAGTAACTTTGGCGTGCATGGAGGACTCATCGTTAACATGTACAAACTGAAATCGATCTGATAAATAGGACTTAAACCAGCTTAGAGCGGTTCCTTTAATGCCAATGAAATATTCCAGTCTCTGCAATAGGATCTGATGGTCAATGGTATCAAATGCAGCACTAAGATCTAATAAAACCAGTACAGAGACAAGTCCTTTGTCTGATGCAATAAGGAGGTCATTAGTAATTTTCACCAGTGCTGTCTCTGTGCTATGATGAGCTCTAAATCCTGACTGAAAATCCTCAAATAAACTATTGCTCTGTAGAAAGTCACACAGCTGTTTAGCAACTGCTTTCTCCAGAACCTTAGAGAGAAATGGAAGGTTAGATATAGGTCTATAGTTGATAAAACATCCGGATCAAGTTTGGGCTTTTTCAGAAGAGGTTTAATTACAGCTACTTTAAAGTACTGTGGTACATAGCCTGTTGATAAAGATAGATTGATCATATCTAGTATAGAGGTGCTGACTAAGGGTAAAACATCTTTAAGCAGCCTAGTCGGGATGGGGTCTAAGAGGCAGGTTGATGGTTTAGATGAAGAAATTATTGAAGTTAGTTGGTAAAGATTGAGGGAAGCAAAACAGTCTAAACATGTATCTGGTTCTACAGCTGTTTCTAAGGTTCCTGAGTTAAGAGATAAGTCGGTGCCAATTGAGGGCAGGTCTTGGTGAATTTTGTCTCTAATAGCTAGAATTTTATCATTAAAGAAGCTCATGAAGTCGTAACTACTGAGAGCTATGGGAATACTTGGCTCAATAGAGCTGTGACTCTCTGTCAGCCTGGCTACAGTGCTGAAAAGAAACCTGGGGTTGTTCCTATTTTCCTCTATTAATGACGAGTAGTACGCTGCTCTGGCATTACGGAGGGCCTTCCTATAAGTTTTAAGACTATCTTGCCAAATTAAACGAGAATTTTCCACTTTGGTGGAACGCCAATTCCTCTCAAGTTTCCGTGATATTTGCTTTAATTTGCGAGTTTCAGTATTATACCATGGAGCTAACCGTCTTTGTTTTAGTATTTTCTTTTTTAGAGGGGCTACAGAGTCGAGTGTCATTCGCAGCGAGCCAGCAGCACTATCAACAAGATGATCGATTTGGGAGGGACTGAAATTAGCATAGGAGTCCTCCGTTACTTTGTGACTAGATAATGTATTTAGAGCTGATGGAATCGCATCCTTAAATTTAGCTATAGCACTATCAGACAGACATCTTGTATAGAAATTTTTGCCCAATGGCGAGTAGTTCAGCAATACAAACTCAAAAGTTATCAAACAGTGGTCGGATAAAGAGGGATTCTGTGGGAACACCACTAAATGTTCAATTTCAATACCATACACCAAAACAAGGTCAGGGTGTGGTTAAAACAGTGAGTCGGTTCATGAACACTCTGAGAGAAGCCGATGGAATCTAACAAAGAGATAAACGCAGTACTGAAGCTGTCATTCTCAACATCTACATGAATATTAAAATCCCCTACAATAATAACTTTGTCCGTTTTAAGGACTAAAGTTGACAAAAACTCTGCAAATTCAGATAAGAATTCAGAATACGGGCCAGGTGCTCGGTACACTATAACAAAAAGAATTGGTTGCAGTGATTTCCAACTTGGGTGCGAAAGACTAAGAACAAGACTTTCAAATGAGTTATAGTTTAGTTTAGGTTTAGAGCTGATTAATAGGCTAGAGTCGAAGATAGCTGCAACTCCACCTCCTCGGCCTGTGCCTCGAGGAATGTGAGTATTAATATGACTGGGAGGGGTGGATTCATTTAGGCTAACATATTCTCCATCACCCAGCCAGGTTTCAGTAAGACCAAATAAATCAATATCATAATCTGATATTAGTTCATTTACTAGTACACCTTTAGAAGAGAGAGATCTGATGTTTAAGAGTCCACATTTAACTCTCCTATTCGTTTGCACTATTGCTCTTGTGGTTTTAATTTTTATGAGGTTTTTATGCACAGCTCCTCTTCTGTTTACCTTTTTAAATAATTTCGATGGTCGGGGGACAGACACCGTCACTATAGGGTTTTCACTAAGTAACTCCTGAAATGGAGGAGCAGAGAAGTGTGTTAGACTGCGACTCTGCGTAGGGTTTTGGGTGGGTAACTGCTGAAAAAGAAGGGCAGAGAAGTGTGTTAAACTGCGACTCTGCCTCCTGGTCTCAACTCTGGGTTGTCATGGATTTGGTCCACTAATAAACTTGGCCAGATTTCTAGAAATGAGAGCTGCTCCTTCCCAAGTGGGATGGATGCCGTCTCTCCGGATCAGACCAGGTCTTCCCCAGAAAGTCTGCCAATGATCAACAAAGCCCACATCGTTTGCTGGACACCACCTCGACAACCAGCGGCGGAATGACGACATGCGGCTATACATGTCATCACTGGTCAGATTTGGCAGGGGTCCAGAGAAAACTACGGTGTCCGACATTGTTTTTGCATATGTACACACCGACTCAACATTAATCTTAGTGACCTCCGATTGGCGTAACCGGGAGTCATTACCGCCGACGTGAATAACAATCTTACTGTATTTACGTTTATCCTTAGCCAGCAGTTTCAAATAAGACTCAATGTCGCCCGCTCTGGCCCCAGGGATGCACTTAACTATGGCCGCTGGCTTCGCTAAATTCACGTTTCTCAAAATGGAGCTGCCAATGATCAGAGTTGGTTTCTCAGCGGGTGTGTCGCTGAGTGGGGAAAATCTGTTAGAAACGTGAACAGGTTGATGATGCCCCGTGGACTTTGAATGCTTACTATTCCTCCTTCGGACAGTCACCCAGCCCCCCTTTCCTGGCTGCACAGGGGATGCCGGAGGACGGCTACCAGAGGCTAACTCAGGCCGTTCCGCACCGACTACCGGGGACTGGCTAGCTACAGTAGCTAAAGACTGATCTACCAGGTGCGGAGCCGGACTTCTAACTCACTGAGCCTCGCCTCCATGTCTATAAATAAACTACACTTATTACATGTACCATTACCGCTAAAGGAGGCAGAGGAGTAACTAAACATCTGACACACCGAGCAGGAGAAAGTAGGAGAGAGAGAGGGAGAAGGAGAAGCCATCGCTAGCTGCTAAGCTAAAGTCGCTAACGGCTAAGCTAAAGTACTGTAGCGTCAGTTACCAAAACTTTAGAACAACTATGAGATTGAACAGCAGTCACTAAAAGATGGAAAGAACTGTGAGTGCTTAGGCAAAATTACTGTAAAGAATAAGTGTTTAGCGAACAGTTGGCCGCTGTAATCAAACAAATGTAACTGTTATTTAGCGAGAGCAGCACAACACGGTACCAACACACAAGCACCGGAAACGGAAATGAGTCGACACGCTTACCGCAATACGTCAGATAGAAAATGCATAGTGAAGTCTCAAACACAGGGAAGGGTGATTCAAGTATTACTGTCAGTCATAGTAGTTAACATAACAATACAATTAAATAAAATGTGCTAATGTGCACCAGCTGAACATTAGTGTGTGTGTGTTTGTGCATGTCTCTCTTGCATCATCACAGTGGTGACAGACATATGGCATTCCAGGAATGTGGGCCTCATGGGCCCGCAGGGAAGCCTACAGGTCCTACAATAACATTTGAACATAATAATAAAACAATTCAACATTTCTGTGTGTGTAAGAAAACATATAAATATAACACAACTTTTTCTTGGAGTAGGTTGTAACATTTTCATTGTTGTTACAACTAAACCAGGCTCTTTTAGCCATGAACTAGCTTACCTTACAGTGTACAGACGAAACATTAGCACTTACAACTTGCATGAGGGACATAGGCACACAATCAACATGATGTAAGTTTGATGAGTTCCTGGCAAGTTCATCAAATTCTTCTTTCTAAAATTGGCTAGGCCTGCTACAGGGTGAATCAAGTGATTCGTTCCACATTGGAGAAATTGGACTTGTCACAACTGACTCATGTTACAACCTTCCTTGGTCTCCCCTATGCCATGAGTGAAATAATCTGTTAAATCACACACTTGTTTCTGTAAGATTTATTTTTAAAAAAAAAACATGTTGTTACTATCATCATGAGCTTTGCCCTAATGTTAAACAAGACAAGTCTGAAACTGAAAACTTAAAGGAGAAGCAAAAATATTTTCAGACAACTTTTCTCTGTTTTACACGTATCATTGTAAATTTTATACCTCAGGGATTTTTTCTTTTGATTAGACGAAACAAGCAGTTCAAATCTGAGAACTTGTGGTGGTCTTTTTTTTACATTTTAGAGACAAAACATTTAGTTTATAAATAACAATATAAGATTGATTAATGGATGATGAAAACATTCGAGTTACTGGGTTAAAGAGAAATCTCACAGCATGATATGATGAGTGTCCTCTTCCTCAGCCATCCTTCTTTTTCTTTGGTGTAGCTTCCGTCTGTTTGATGAGAAGAAGGACGTGCTGATCCTGGTGTTTCTGGAGGAGATTCCCACCTTTCAGCTGTCTCCTTTCTACCGCATGAGGAAGATGCTGAAGAGGCGGACCTACCTGAGCTGGCCGCGGGCCGGGGAGCACACCGAGCTGTTCTGGAAGAAACTCTGCCAGGCTCTGAAGAGCGGAGAAGATCATGGTGAGGACAGGTTCCGCCTCACTGTCGTGGACAGACCGTGACAGAAAGGAAATACAATCCTGTCTGTGTGAGGTTCACAGCCAAGAGCAGTTTACTGGTTAGGAATTTGTTTTATTACTAAATTGCCAAAGGTACATCTGAAGGAGGTTCCTGCTATTATATGCAAACTGAAATGGAAAATCAGGAGCCACAACCGTCTATGCCACCAAACTGGAAGCCCAAGTTATGACTTATTCATTTTTCCATTCCAAGACTGAGTATGCGAGCTCCTGTGCCTTTAACGTCTCTGTTGAGCCAGTGAACATAATGGCAGATAAATAGGTGGCAGAGAATTAAATATACACTGCAATGTATATAATATCATCACCTCATCAAAAATACTTTAGCTCAATAAATTAAAACATATAGAAAATCTGAGCAGGTTCAGAGAAGAGCTTCTGAACTAATTCCAGGTCTGAAAAAGATTTCACATGGAGAGGTTAATAATATTACCGACTCAAGTATACAGGAGATATAGAGGAGGCATGACTGAGGTATATATGCTTGTTCACATAATATATGATATCACAGCCAAGCTTCCACTTTTGGAGTTCCAACATCTTCACACTCTTAATAAATTCTGGTCAACAAAGATGTTTTGCATAATTATAATGCTTATTTGTGATCATTTGTGACATTACTGTGATTTTAAGTAAGTTGTGTTATTTTTATGGTTTGTTTTGAGATGTAGGGTCTGATATGCAGAATGTATATCCTGTGCCAAAAAACAAATATCACATCTCCACTCTACTTGCCTGTTGGGTTTGATAAAAGTCACAGATCCCTTTCAGATAATTTTTTTCAAACAGTCAGCTGTGCAGTGATACAATCTGTGAACCTGCCGCAGTTTCATTTCACTCTAATAGACAGGGTGCAGGAAGGTTTTCCATTACATAATATTAAAATTATTAGTTTCATTACCTTTGAAGTCTGTGCAGCTTCAGGCACAAAAACAACTTCTTCAGGTTTCCAAACATAATAAATGAGTAAGAACAAAGTAGTAGGTAACAATAGAATAAAGTCTCAGGTTTGAATATTTAAAAGGAGAAAAGTGTATGTTAAGGGGTTTAAGGGCTAATGTATCATTGATTAATTTGACATGCATTTCTGAATCTGCTGTTTAAATTATTATTATTATTATTTTATTTTTATTGCAACTTTATTGTTCATTATTAGCCAGACAACAATCTCTCTTTCAAATCTGTCCTCTTGTCTTAGTATTGTTACTATTTTACTGCGTCTGCATATTTCAAAGTGCTCATGTTGATTTCTTGCAGTCTAATTGACTTTTACTGACTGATTTATCAGTTTACAGTAGTAATTTGCCCATGTATATTTTAAAAATTTTAAGACAAAAACGTTCTCCTTCTTTTCATATGATTTGTTCTATATAAATAAAATGAAATGCTCAAGTCTCAATTTCAAGTATTCTTTAAATGTCATAGCTGAAAAAGTTGTGTTGAAGCTATGAAATGACCTGTGTGGACATGAATGTATGGAAACCCATTTTGTCAGTTTTCTTAAACACCTCTGTTTTAATAAAATCTTTGACAATATCAATAACAATTACAGCTTTTTGAGAAGACAGTGCTTCATACTTTATCTCTCTAACATCAGAATGCCAGAGTTGGTCAACATCAAGACAAAATATACAAAACATATTGCAAAACCTTTAAAAAACAATGTGTCCTTTTTCATTTTGTTGATACTGTAGTGTCAGCTTACAGTTTACTATGTATTAAGAATACTACACTCCCCTGTTTATAAAACAGAACACACATAAGAAAAATGTTCTTGTTAAAGAATTAGAGAAGATTTAAGTTACATTTTTTTTCACTGGCATATTGGGTTCTTGGGTGCAGGAATGTGTAAAGAGAAGAGTCATATGCTGCAGACGTTAGCTGCTGTATAGAGTTTAAACTGATGTGTTGTTGCCTCGGGTTCCCTCTACTAAGCGCCGCCTCCTTTCTCTGTAAAAAATAGAAACATAACATGAATTTGGTTCAGCATTTGGTTTGAGTACCAAAAGAATATAGGAAAAACTACATTACAGAGAGACATGAGTATACTCACTCCAAGCAGCCAATCCCTCTCAGTGTCCATGAGGCTGATGGGTTGGCGCACACAAACCTCCCTGGAACATGGAAGCTGTGGGATCCAAGAAAACAATGAGGAAATTATCTCACATGAATGCTGACGAGACACCTTCCCTCCCTGTGGTCTCATTCCTGTGGCCTCATTCCAGTTTGTCAGCTTGTATATTACCTGCAGAGTGTCTCTTATACTTATTTACAGTGTCACTTCACACAGAGTGACCCTATCCGAACTAGCTGCTCTCAAAAAGTCCGGCAGTGCTTCATGATTGATTTTGGGTCACTCTTTAACTGCCTGGAAACACAAGTAATGGAGTGTTGTGCGATTCAGATACACAGCCCAACCCACTACTATACTACTATAACCTATGTAAGTCTGAGTTGTGCAATATGTGCAATACCCTTTTACTCCTGCTGATTCCAGTTTTTAACTAATCATGTGAATTTTTGTAAATTATTTATTATTACCTGCGTGTCTTTTTATCTTATCTTATTTCTTTTTATCTTCATTGACTGTGCACTGAGGGGAGTTGCATTAGAGCCACGTTCAATGACAATAAAGCTTTCTGATTCAGATCCTGATTCTAGAGACAAAGCGATTAGTCAAATAATTGATTAGTCTATGGAAAGAATTTCTCAAATGTGATCATTTAAAACATAAATAAATAAATATATGTTGGGGTTTTAACTGTTCTGAGATAATGTAAAAGGCATTTTTCAATGTTTTCAATTGAGAAAATAGTCTGCAGATTAATTGATGATGAAATTATTCTTCTTGTAGGCTATTCTGCACATTTTATTTTATATAATGGACAACTTGCCTAAAAAGTCAATATCAGAGACCTGACCGGTTTGATATTTTATGCTATTGTTCTTAAGTGATAAATTTCACTCCTGATTTGTAACATTGTATCCTGACAGGAAACTATGACACGTTAACTCACATAATGGCATTGATGTCACAGGAAGTGTTGATGTTCTGCACGGTGTAGCCCAGCAGCCGTTTGCATGGCAACGGACGTCTGGCGTACCTCAGGCAGCAGCTCGCTGCAAAGACACACAAACTAATTGTAAACAAAATATGAACAACCTTTTCATTTAGATGCTGGAAATGCAACATTTAAACAAAATAGCAACACTAAAAGTTCATTTTCTTGCTTTTCACTATGTGAGACAAAATTATTTATATTGTTAGTTAGAGCTTTAAGATTTGCAGATACTTCATGTAATAATAAAGCAAAAGACAATATAGAACTTTTCCCTTTCCTATAACCTAAATCTACATTTGACAGGGATAACAGAAATCATTCAGTACTGTAGAAATCCAGGGTACTCCACATGTACGAGCAGTAATAGCTGAAGCACTCACCTGACTCTGTGCTGCCGATAAAGGTGGTGAGGATGACGAGGGAGCACAGGGCTGCCACTGCACACACTTTGCTGATTTCCATGTTTGTATAGTTGGTGTGGCTCCTCTGCCGGTCTGTGTCAATGTGTGAGGCTGTAGTAACTAAGTGTTATGATGTGCCTGAAGGCATTCAGTGAGAGTGCAAAGAGTCGTCATTGCTTTGACGCTTAAATATGCCATCTCCGGTTTTCCCCTGGGCAGGATTGTGTAATTCCATG